TTTAACAATTGTGAAAAACAAAAAATAAAAAAAAAAAAATAATAAAAAAATTGATAGTGATAAATAAAATCTTATTTAATTATCTTGGCATTGATTCTTGAGATTTTAAATGAAATTTATTGTTAAAATTTGCAGGTGTTGCAGTTGGGGGAGGATGGCAAGGGCTAGTGGCTTTTATTAATCTGACTTGCTATTACATAATTGGTCTCCCTATTGGGTTTCTTCTTGGTTACAAAGCAAAACTAGGTGTACAGGTGATTTTTTTTTTATTTAATTCTTGCAGAGTAAATGATTGAAAATAGACATATAAAGGGGAAAATAGAAGTTACAGAATAGTTGTTTTGCCACAAATTATTGTGAGGGCCAATTTTACCTTTAAGCGGGTAAACCCGTCATACTTTTTGCATATTTATCGTTTGGGATTTTGAGTGACATTTTGAGACTTTTTGTAAGATTTTCAGATTTAGGAAGAATCCTACGAAATCTTAAATGATATTTTAAGATATTCAATTAAGATGTGTATTCAATTAAGAATTTAAATGATATTTTAAGAGTTTTTAAGATGTGTGACTGTTTAGGATTTTCATATTTGAGAAGAATTCAATGAAATCTTAAGTCTGGAGGTATGATTTGAAGTGGGATTTCGGTTTTTTGTTTAGAAATCCCACCAAATCTTAAAAAGTCTTAATAAATCCTAGTGTCAAATAAATTAAATACCTTAGGATTTTGTAGGACTTTTAAAAATCCCAATTGAATACCCCAGGATTTTTAAAATTCTTAAGAAATCAATACATCAGGAATTCTAAAGTCTTGAAAAGTCCTTAAAAATCCTAATTAAATACATCCTAAGTCTCTAAATGAGATTTAAAGTGAAATTTCGTATATAGTTTTTTCTTTAGAAATCTCAACTCAAAAAGTTAAATAACCCAAGATTTTGTGAGACATTTTAAAATCTAAAATGAATACATCAAGACTTTTAAAAGTCTTAAAAAGTTTGAAAAAGTCTAAATTAAATGCACCTCGATTTCTGAAGTCTTAAAAAAGTCTTGAAAAATCTCAAACGAATAAAGCCCCCTTATACTCTGAAATGACATTGTTATTGTGTGTGTGTGTGTTTGTTTGTGTTAACAAGGAAAACAATATGATTTGTGTGTTTCTATCTTTGTTTTTATTTATTTATTTTATTTTATTTGGCAGGGAATTTGGATGGGGATGATATTTGGGACATTTCTGCAAACTGTGATACTTCTAATTATTGTTTGGAGAACAAATTGGAATGAGGAGGTATTCAAATATCTTGAAATTTAGTTTTCTAATTCATTGAGATATATAAAATAAAATATAAATAAAAAGTATGATACTTGATAACATAGGTAAATTTTATCTACTCTATTTTTATTTTTTTTTCTATATATATATACAAAATATTTAATTCTTGTTGATTTTGCATTGCATCATAAATTGATAGTACTTAATTTTTTCTCCTATTCATTTTGTAGATAAGATTTATTTTACCTTTATTTGTATTTTGCAGGTGGAACAAGCATCAGAAAGAATGCGTAAATGGGGTGGAGAAGGTATAGATTGAGATGGAACATAAACTGACAATTTTTCTTTGATGTATAGAAATATAATATAATCTTAATTGGGGAAAATAAAGATGTAAATTAAGATGGTACAAATAATTTATTTGTGTATAAAAAATATCTATGTGAAAGATTTGTGTAATTGTATCCACAAACATTATATAAACCCATTATTGCATTTTTTTTTTTTTTTCAGTACATTTATTTTTTTTAAGATATCCAAGCAACAAAAATGTAATATATTAACCTGGCAAATCAATTGTTAATGAATATATGTGTAAAGATATTTATGTCTAATACCAAACATTAACTCCAGAACAAAAATAATATAAAAACAACATCACGAAACATAGATTTTCGCCATGTCAGCATTCGAAACATGAGAATCTACCACTTAAACTCAACACGTCTTAAATTAATAGGGGGATTTTGTTATAGACTGTGTAGTTGAAAAGGCTTATGCACAGTCAAACTCCCAGCAAAAAGCAAAAGCTTTTTCTAGGACCATCAAAAAAAAAAAATAAATAAAAAATGAATGAAGTTAGACCTGACAAGAAAACAACAAGCAATTAACAAGACAGCAAAAATAGCACAAGGTACAAGAATCCAATACATTAATCAATTACACAGTATATTCCTTATTCACTATATCTCAGTTCTACTTCACAGGTAAAAAAAATCCCATCAATTAAGACACCCATTACAATTCCCACCTCTCCAAAGGAAAAAAAAAAAACCTCAAACTTCACAAATGGCTCGGGCGTCGTCTTCCATCGGTCCTCAACCTCTTCACAGGGTTGGCCCAC